ATTTCTGGGTTCGGCCCATATTTCTGGGTTCGGCCCATATTTCTGGGTTCGGCCCATATTTCTGGGTTCGGCCCATATTTCTGGGTTCGGCCCATATTTCTGGGTTATCAGCGGTGACGCGTAACAAATGCGGCTCGGCAGCGGTGACGCATAATAGATGCGACGTATATGGCGAAGCGCTGTATTTATGGATTTTCCCACTTCATTAGACATATTTGGACTGATGTGACTTATAGGGCGGTGCGAAGTGTATGGTGGAAAATATGGTATATGTTCGGATTCGCTCTCAGCTACCGCTATATCAAATTTCTATTGAATAGCTCTAAAAATGGATGAGTTGTCATATTTTTTCCCTTTTAGCTAAGGTGGCCATTTTGGATTTTTGATTTGGATTCAATATAGGATGGGAAACGTTCTCAGCTATCACCACACAAAATTTTAGGTAAATGTCTCAAAAATTAGCTGATTTATAGTATTTTTCTTTTTTTAGCTCTGGCATTATGAAAACTCACTCTCAGCTAAGACCAGAGCAAATTTCAGCTCAGTATCTCAAATAATAAATTAAGTTATAGCAGTTAGAAGCTGTTGAGTCCTGTCAGGCATTTTGAATGAGAAAAATGATGTATTTGTTTGCAAGTTACATCGCCATAGTAACTCGAAACACCAGAAAAAGTAATAGTACACATCACGGTGCTTAGCCAATTGTTTTGCTATAAGATTTGTGCGGGTACACATTGCGGTTCCGGCCGCATTAAAGTTCATGGAAGAGTAAGATGTAAAGTTAAGAAACACAGTCAGGTGGATAATAATAGGTGCCTGCCTCAAGCAGCAATAAGAAGTAAAATCTTGTTTTACTCTAAAACAACAGCATCAGAAATAGTTTTTTGCTCATCAAGTAATCAACAAACCAATCAAACAAAAGCTAAAGTGCATAAAACAAATAATGCTTCAAAATTATACCACTTAAATCAACAAAAAGATCCAGGTTTAATTATATTCTAAGTGCTCCGCTCAGAATATAAAACAATTGTATATACACATTAAATTTTTATTTATTTATTTTTTTTTTTTTTACAAATGACACATTTAACAGAGTAAAAAGCTGCCGGGTCAAAACACTTTGATTTAACTATAAAGTGTAAAAAATATTTAATCACAAATTACTCCCAATGTTCCAGATGAACATATATTGTTTTACTGTGTGCACAGAAATGGTAAAAAGTAAGGAATAAAACTACACCCCATTTACATGTAAATTGATTTTTCTTCTTGTTCCAGTGAGTCGTCAGAGAAGCAACCAAACGCAGAACTAAACAGGCAGGAGGCCAGCACAGAATGCTAATGAGGCTCATGCCACAGAAACAACAAAAAAAACAAGGAGCTGCCAAAAGCGTGTCGTTCATACCCCCCCCCCCCCCCGCACCCGAAAAACACAAAGTTACAGTTTTAGAAAACTATGGTCATGATTATCAAGGAGGAGAGTGCATAAGTGTGAGGGGTAACTCGCTGCAGGTGAAGTAGCGAAAATAAAGATGGCGACACAGCAATCAGAGTTTGCTGGGATTATATCAGACAACAGAGAAAATAAACTCAGGACAAAAAAAAAAAAAAGAGACTAAAACTGAAAATAAATAATTATAAATAAAGAATAAAGCAAATTTGAACCGAAACCATAAAACTACAATAATGCGTGTGTGTATATGTGTGTGTGTGTGTGTGTGTGTGTGTATGTATAGGCATTTTAAACCCTTCCCACACTCTTGCAATATTCTAAACATTGTTTAAACTCTAAACACACTAAAAGAGCACAGAATGTCATGACTTCAGCTCTCTGCCTCCTCTCAGCCACGGCTGCACTCAGCCACGCCCACTTCTCCGCTCTGCACTCGGAGATCAGCTGATCAGCTGCAGGAGAATGCTTTTTCTGCAGCTGTGGGCTGCACAAAGATGTAGCAGGTGCTAAATAATTTAAAACAATTAATTTTAAATAAAAAATTCCATGCCCAACGTGCGGCTCATCCATCAATCAGCCAGTTGTGTGTCTTGTCCACTCTTGTTTTGAAAAACCACGATAGAGCGAGTCGGCGATAAACGAATTGCGAAGTAGCGAGAGACTACTGATTTTTTTTTACTGCACTATAGAAATGAACGTTGACTTGACTTTTTTTATGCGTGTGTGTGACCTGGTTTAATGTTTTCAAGAAAACATTTTGTCCTCAGAAAACCAAGCTTGTTTTTGGTCTCGCTGCCTTTCAGACTTTGTTTTCCCTCCTCACACAGTTGTCCTCCTGCCAGCAGTGTGTGGGTGGGAATGCGGGTGTTGTTTGTTTAAAACACTTGGTTCCAACAAAAAGCTCTCTATTTTGTGCCCACATGTAGATTAAAGCTAAAATCAATTTGGCAAACAAATTAGTCAGAAATTGTTTTTCAGTCTTTTGTTTTCTGAGTCCAAAACCTGATGGTGAGGAACAAAACTTACAAGAGTAAAATTAAACGCTTTCCATGCACATACAAATAGATTAGCATCCATTTTTAGGTGATTTTGTCCTCCTGCTATGTTAAGAAGACAACTTTCTCTAAACAAATGGTATTATCTAGCTTTTGGGGTCTGACCAACTAATGGACCAAAAATAGCTCCTGTCTGTCGTCCCACATGGCCATGTTGTCGGACATCCAGGTTTTCTGAGCTTCACAAAGGAACGTCACACAAACACAGCTCCAGTTGAACCGCAGAGTTTATTTCCCCTCCCCAGATTTATTTTTAATAAGAAATCTCATAAAACATGACTCTGCTTGCACCAGGCCTGATCAGTTTGATGAAGACAAGCGCTAGTCTGAAGGATTCGCTGAGTCTGGACGTTTAAGCTCTCTCCTCTAACGTGTCACAGACACAGTCTTTCTCTCCTTCCTCATTTTTATTCCGCTCACCTTTTGTTATTTAACTTGTTCAAGAGCAAACCCAAAAAATTAAAGACTTCTGTAAAGCAGCGCACATGTCAGTGTCCCGGAGAGAAACGAATCCCTTGAGACTGATGTTTATCGCGCCATGCGGTTATTATTTACACTTTTGTGCTGATTCACCACACAGCAGTGTGTTCCTTCTTCTAATAGGATGGATATAAAGTCCCAGAGTGCCTCCAGGCTGCAGCTGCTGCCTCGGAAAAAGCGTGAAGGCTAAAAAAAAGTAATTAGACTGGACAGGAAAAATCACGCTGACCTCAGAAGTGTCACTCCAACCATGAAGACTCATCACACCGAACGGGCCCTGAAGCCTTTGAAGAATCAAAGAATTGTTTAAAAGTTTGCGAGAAGTTCTGAACCTGGATGAGGTCAGAGCTTTTCTTCTCCAATCTGGATCAAAGTGTGGAGGAAAAATCCAGAAGGTGTTGCTTCTGCTGTTCGACCGGACCGGTTGTGCTAATGGTGATATTTATTTATGGCTGATTTTTACCCATCAAGGTCAGTTTACTCTTCATGCACGGTGTGTGACAGCTGAGCATGAACTGGACCACAGATAAGGACTTGGACTTTTATTTCACTGCAACACAACGTTTTTATGTTTTACGTCATCAGCTTGATTCAGTTAGCTAACATTAATAAAAAGCATATTGTCAGTTATTAAGATCATCTTTTGCTGGGAAATAAAGGAGTCGGAGCCATTTTAGTCAAACCTTTAACAAAACGTTATGCACGATCTCATGCTCAGAGTATGTGTTGTGAATGACTCTCAGCTACTACCACACCAAATTTCAGCTCCACATCTGTAAAACTGACCGAGTCATAAGATTATTTGTGAAGGCCAATTAACTTTAGAGCCATCTTGAAGTAGTTTGGCTTTAGAAGGTGATCAGTTATAGAGAAATTATTTCCTGAACGATTTACCAAAATCCATTTTCTGGTCATTGAGATATTTTGCTAACACACTGGGAGACTTGACTAGAAATAGTTATGGCAACATTTTGAAAGCTCTTGTACAATCAGATTAAGGTCAGACTATGTGCTGGGATCAGTCTCAGCTATGATCAAGCTACATTTTAGCTCAATATTTGTAAAATTCACTGAGTCATGGTCCATCCATTATTGTTATGGCCTGAGGCCAGATGTGTGAGTGACAGTATAATTGGAGTTTTTGCTTTTCAACAAAACGACAGGGTCCTGGAGAACTCTCTTGTCCGGCTGAGACTCATGCTGC